TTCAGTTGTATATAGAGCGCCAGAAGATTCTTTTGTCATGTGCACAGTAAGGGATGGAGCCAGAGGGTGGTTTTGCCTCTACTGAGCAGAATTGAGGCCCAGCACATGTAACCCTCAGAACCGAGCAGAGGGGATTCCTTCTGCTCCAGAGAGTCCCCAGGAGGGTGTCACCCAGCCCTCTGGATGTGATGGTCCAGGGTGGGTATTTCTGATAAATCTGCAGAAGCTAAGGAGCAATCCCGTGTTGCATGTGTGTTCTCAGGCAGGCAGCATGGACAGCCTCAGGGGTGAGTGGTATCAGGAGTGGCAGGCTGGGGAGCCAGTTGCTCCCAGGGGGCTGTGTCAAGGAGAGGGACTTCTGGACAAGGTGGGACACCAAGATGAATGGGTTAATGAAAGGGGAGAGAGGTGCCATCAAGTGCCCCTTGGGTTGGCTGGCAGAGGCTTAGAGCCTCTCCAGTATTATCAGAGGGGGTGGGAGAAACCTGCTATTCCAGCTGGAGATTAAATGCATTTTCCCTGCCTCCCTATCCTCTTCTGTTCTCTTCCAGATCTCCGCCTGCAGCTGCTGGATGTGAAGAACAACCCCTACTTGATCAAGGCTCTCTATGGCCTGCTGATGCTGCTGCCCCAGAGCAGCGCCTTCCAGCTCCTCTCCCACCGCCTCCAGTGCGTGCCCAACCCAGAGCTCATGCAGACCACGTAAGTGCTGGGGGGACGGACCAGCATCAGCATCGGGGCTGGATCAGCTGTTCCCCCACAGCTGAGCATCCCTGCCATTCCAGGCTCAGCCCCGATCCCGGGCTCAGCCCCATGCTCTAGCTTTCACCCCCCCTCCCCGCTCCGTTGTGGCCGTGGCTGCTCCTTGTCCCCATGGCCGGGAGTGTTGGCTCGGGGGGTTTTTTGTGTCTATATTTGGTAACCCTGGGAGGGCTGTGCCTCATCCACAGGCATTTGGCATCCGGGATGGAAAATTTCACTTGTGGGGTCGCTATGGAAACGAGCAGAGCTGGGAAGGAGGTTTATGGAGAAAGACTCCAGCAGCTGGGGGGGGCTCCCGAAGCATCCCCCCTGCAGCCTGGACAGCCTTCACAGCACCCAAAAAGAGCCTGGCACCCTGCTAATGCCTCTGGATGGCTGCTCCATTCCCACTCCTTGCCTTTGGGGATCCATGAAATGTGCGAGGGCAGCATCTCCCTGGGGACCAGCTGAAATCCTCGTGCTCCCTGCCCAGGGGTGCTGCCAGTGGGATTTGCTTTCCAACCCTTGGCTAATGAGTAGTGGGGGAGCTTGATGATAAAGCTGGCTCTGCCTTGGCGCAGCCCTGGGAACAAAAAGAGCTCCCAAGATGGGCAGGTTTCTGAATTAACCCCCTGCTGCTGCTGTCGCTCCTTGGCTTTTAACTGCTTCCCTGGGATGGCTTTTATCCCTCATGGCCTCCGGCGCTGAGCTCCTACCCACAACCCAGCACTGATATTTAATTGGGGGGGCGGAGAGGGGGCTGCATGTGCTTCCCCCTCCTTTTTTTTCCCCACTAACTCTGGCAGTGGGGGTTTTCCGAGCTGTCAGACGGCCTGAGCATCTGATTAACTCTGACCTACATTCCTTCAAACACCGAAGCCAGCTTTCATAACTGGCCAGTCCCAGCTGCCCCCTCCCCAGGGACATACCAGGGCCACCAGAGCTGCCTGACATCTTCCCATGGGCATCCTGTGGCTGGTGTCTCCTCCTTCCTTGCATGGGGACAGCACAGGGATGAGTAACCATGGCTAGAACCCTGGGGAGCCTGCATTTGGAGGCTCCAGCCATAGGTGCTCATCCCTGGGGACTGTACCTGCTGCCACTGGATGTTTCTTGCTTGCTCAAAAAAACAGACATGGGAACTGAAGCACATGACCCTGGCATCCTTATCTCACTGCTTTTGAGTGCCATGGGTTGGGATAGAGGGGAGTATGTCAGAAGAATTAAACCTTCCATGTGGGGCCAAGATGCAGATGTCCCTTGTCTCCTCCTTGTCCCAGGATTTCTCGGGCTCTATCTCACATCTTTGGAGGAAGAAAATGTGTCTTTTGGGGTATTTTATGAGGCACTAGCATGACTAGGATTTGCTGAGCTCAGCTTCTTCAGGACAAGCTTTTGGTGCTGCCAGTGCTGGATGCTCACAGTACCAAACATCCACATCTCCTCCTCACCCTCTCTCTTTCTTCCCACCCTGCAGGGACAACACCAAGCCCAGCACCAGCTTCAAGAGAACTGCAGCCTCCAACATCGACTACACGGAGCTGCTGCAGCACTTTGAGAAGGTCCAAAACAAGCACCTGGAAGCAAGACACCAGCGAGCCGGGCGGGCAGAGCAGCTGGACCGGCGGGTGGTCCTCTGAGCACGCCTGTGGCCGCCACGGGTGTGCACAGTTGCTGGGGCAGGGACCAGGGGACACAGACCAGGGAACAGGCACACCGGTTGCTGGCCACTGGAGGATCTGGTGGGTTTAATGGAGATGGGCAAGCGCTCAACACAGGGCTGGTTTTCCCCCCACTGTGTGTATGGAAAAGGGGGGACCCTCAGGCTGTGCCCAGCTTCTCCTGTGGGTGCTGGGGGGACATGAGGAAGGGTTGCCCAAGGAGAGGGCCAGGGTAAAGTACATCATCTTCTCTTGGAATGGGGCAAGGAAACTCCCCTTTGCTTTGCTAATGCCTTCCCCGTGACTGTCAGCTGAGCGCCCAGCCTGCTGCCAGCAGCATCCGAGGAGGGGAGGGGAAGACGGGAGCAACCCCTGGCCTTCCGCCCTGGAAAACAAGCACGCGGGGCTGCCAGCCGCTTCTCACCACCCTGACTTACACCCTCTGGTTCCGAGGCCCTGCTGGAGGTGGCCAGTGGCATCTCACTCGGGGGAGACACTCCTGTGCCTGACGCTCAGCCCCCTCCCTGCATTCACACATCCTCTCTGAGTCCCCGGCTCTTGGCAGGGACAACTGCACAGCTTCAACTCCCAGCCGGCACCGGGGTACACGGGGAGCAGTGGACCTAACCCCAGACTCCATTCCTTGTTCCTGCATTAAGCTCCCCATGATAAAATAAACAAGCAGTGCAGAACAGCCCATTCCTTGTTGCTGGGCTTCCCATCATAGTTTTCTTCGCAAGTGGAGCCAAAAACCCAGCAAGGGCAGGGGATGGCATGGAGCGTGACCCTGTGCCCCGGGCTGGCCCAGCCCTGCCACGTTGGCTCACCAGCCAGCAGGACTTCTCCGCCTGCTCTTCTTCCCAGCAGGAAAAACAGCACTGAAATTCTTCCAGGCCACGGTCACGAAACCGCAGCACACTGACAGGCATTTTCCTGGCCCTGAGCAGCTGCCAGTGTTGCCTTCATCCCGTCCTGTGGCAGCAAGGGACCCCAGCACATGCCAGGCTGCTGCAGTTTGGGGGACACCATTGCATCCCCTGCATGTTTCACACCCTCAGTTGATCCCAGGAAAAGGGGAATTGGAGCAATTCGTGGAGTTTTTATGGCTTCTAGCCTGTTTACAGGGAAGACTGTCTCTGGCAGTGGGTTCCCCAAACAGCCCCATACCGGCGCTGGATAAAGACATTCCTGTCATTCCCGGGAAAAGGCTTTCCAGAGCCAGTCACGGCGGGTTAATTGTAACAGCCAGCCCTCCAGGATGTGTGAGCAGTGGCTTCTTAAGCTGGCTAGTTTCTCAGGGTGCTGGGGGGTACCTGTTGCTGGACCCCTGAGTCACTGTCAGTGTGGGCCAGGGCAGGCTCTGCCTCACTCCTGCCGAGCTCATTGCTGCTGAACAGCCTCTTTCCACACTGAGGGACTGGGTTTATGGAGAGAAATTCCAGCCGGCTGCTGGAGTGCTGAGCCGTAATTGTTTCCTTATGGGTGGCTCTTGACCAACACCGTCCAGAGCAGTGTGGGCATCATCAGCATTGGGATCAAGACTACTTTTCTGGCAGGAGGGGGAATAGGTGGCTCGGGCTGAAACCTTTGCCCCAGCTGAGCATCACTGCACTGTGAGGGGTAGGGAGGTTTGTCGGGGCTCAGCCTGGCACCCCCAGATCCCGGGAGGCTAGGGTTGGGGCCTTGGGGTGGCTCTGGGAAGGGTTTGCCATGCGTTTCCCATGGCATTCCCTGATAATCAAGTGCATGTACAGACACATTTCAGAGCTGTCGTGTAACTACTGCAGAGGGACTTCACCCTCCAGCACATCTTGGAGGGTCAGGAAGGCAATGGGGGTCAAGCACCCTTTGGGAAGAGGCAGCATCTCCCCGCCCCCCGGCACCTCCAGAGGTCTGGGACTGCCCCGGACATCCCATGGCATCTCCAACTGCAGTGTCCTCGGGTACTCCCTGGGGCTCTCCTGCTCCTCACCCAGCACCCCAGTATAATGCCGGGGGTTCCTACGCCGCCACGGGAGCAAACCCCGGTGCTGCCCCACCAGTGCCACATCTCCAGGCATCCCTCGGGTCTCCCTCCTCTGTAGTCCTGGGGCGCCCGGTGTTGCTCCCCGATCGCCCCCCAGGAGCATCCCCGAGAACCACCGGAGCTGTCCCCCGCTCCGTCATTCCTGCGCGTCCTCCGGGTTGCCCGCAACGGCTCCCGGAGCATCCCCGGGGCTGACCCCGAGCATTTCCCCCCCGCCGCCCGCAGCCCCCGGCCCCGCGGCGGGCGGCGCATGTGCCGCGCAGCGCCCGCCCCTCCCCGCCCCCGCCACCGCCCCGGGCCGGAGCTCCCCGCGCCCCGCTCCGCTCCGCTCCCCGCTCCGCTCTGCTGCCAGGGGGCGGCGGGTCCGCGCAGCACCCGCGGAGGGCGAGAGGGAGGGAGGGAAGGAGGCAGGGGGGCGATGCCCCGCCCGGCTCCGCCGCCGCTCCGCCGCTCTGCCCTCCCCGCCGCCGCCGCCGCCCGGGCGCCGCCCGCCCCCCGCCGCCGCTGAGCCTGGCCCGCCGCCGCGGCCTCCCCCGGCGGCGCCGCCCGCCCCGGGCTGCCGCAGCGCCGCGATGGAGACGGCGGAGAAGGAGTGCGGAGCCCTCGGCGGCCTCTTCCAAGCCATCATCAACGACATGAAGGTAGGGGATTCCCCCCCACCCCCCACCCCGGTTTTGCTGTCGTGACAGCGCTCCCCCGCACCGTTCCCCCATCACCCGGCTTCCCCAGGCAGCCCCCGCGCTGCCGCCGCCGGTGCCGGTCCCGCGGTAGGTACCGAGGCTCTGCTGCCTCGAGATGGTGACTGGAACCCCGCATCGGGCGTCGGAGCCCGATCATCAGCCCCACAGCGAGTGTCGGGGTACCACATCGGCTGTCAGAGCCCGGCACGCGTTGCCAGAGCCCCACATCAGCCCCTTACTGGGCATCGGAGCTCTGTGCTGGGCATCAGAGCCCTGGAGATCGCAGTCCCCAATCATCTCCATATCCAGCGCTGGATATTGGAGCTCCATCCTGGGGATTGCAGCCCCACATCATCCCCACATCCATCACTGGCTATCGGAGCCCCGTTCCGGGTGTTGCAGCCCTATATCTGCCCTGTTATCCTTCGCTGGGTATCAGAGCACCATGTCGGGCATCGAGGTTTCGCACTGGGTGTCAGAGCGTGGCACTAGGTACCAGAGCCCCACATCAACCCCATAATGTGCATCAGGGCCCTGCATTGGGCATTGGAGCCCATACTGGGGATTCTGGCTCCATATCAGCCCTGTATCCGTCTTCAGGTGCTGGCACCCCTTGTCGGGTGACACAGACCAGGCATAACAGCCCCTCACCAGGTACCACTGGCCCCACACTGGGCATTGCCACCCATTTCAAGCATCATGTTTTCCCTGCCCCCCCACACCCCATGCCCAGCCTGGATTTCTGCCGGACCCAATGGGGTTGACACCAGTGGAACAAAAATGTCCCCCAGCTCCTTGATCCCATTTCCTAACCCGGGAAGAGGATATTGCCTCCACCCTCCCTCGGAGCAGGATGGGGCCATGTTTAAAAAAATCTTTTTGTTTGTTTGTTTTCATTTCAAAAAAATAAATCTAAAATGCTGGGGGGTATTTCTGACTAGGGGCTGAGTGGGGAGGAGGGGACCAGCCATGTTTCTTCATCCTGGGGGGCCAAAATTCCCTCAGCCAGCTCCAGCACTGGGGTTTAGCCCTAATCATTTTTGGGAGGCAAAAGCTGTCTTCCTCCTCCTCTTCCTCCCTTCATGCTGCAGACCCGTCCAGACAATGCTGTCATTGCCAAAGCAGGGGAGGGGGGATAAAAAAAAAAAATAAAAGCCTTGCTGGGAAGGAGATTAACCCCTTCGAGGGGTGGTGGTGGCTCTGCAGCCGGACTCTGGCTCAGGGCTGGGAGAAAGGCTCCAGGGAGAAAATCTCAACTCTTTCCAGGGCAGTGGGATCCAGGGCTGGTGGGAAACGGCTGCTGGGGTGATCAGCTCCCTCCCTCAAATGCCTTCATCCCAGCCACTCTCTCCTGGCAGCCTGGCTGAGTCCTACACTCCCAGGAGAGAGGTGGGGGCAGCCCCTGCCTCAGTTTCCCCATTTCCCTGCTGAAGCTTCAGAGGGCATAAGCCAGCACAGAACTGTCACCTCCCGGTGACATGCCCAGCACCATCCGGATGCGGTTGGACTGGGAACCCCTTACCCGAGGAGACCGGGCTGGATTCAGTTTCGTACCATTTGAAGGTGGGAAAGATGAAAGAAAAATTATGAAAAAGAAAGAAAACTCCACCACACTACAGCTGGGGCTCAGGTCATGCCCTGCACAGCCCCGGCCAAGTGCCAGTGGCACCTGAGGGTGTGCTGTCCCCATCTCCCAGCCACGTGGGTGTCCTGGCACGGGCACTGGGGGACAAGTAACTCTCTGCTTGAAGAACTGCCAGCATTGAAGGGCAGTGATGTGCTTATGGTCCTATGGCTGGGACCCCTGTGCTGGTCACAGAGCAAAGGGACCTAATTTTGGTGGTGGATGGCTTTTTCAGCACCCCTTGGCCTGTGGTGGGGAGAGTTTTTTTCTTGGTGACAGTCCCTAAGCTGGCGTTATTCCTGTTGCTGCTCCTCGCGTGCTCGGTGTCCCTGAATGACCTTGGCATGTCCTTGTCCCCATTGTCCTCTTCCCCATCTTCCTCATGCCTGGCATCACAGGGGTTTGGGGGCATCACAACCTGCTCCCTTCTACAGGGGAGCCTCATTTGCCCTGCCCAGGGTGGCCAAGGAATATGGCCTGGGGACAATGGCCCAGGAATGGTGGCCCAGCCCTCTGGCAGTGACAGTCCCTGGGGACCCACAAGCAGGGGCTCACCATCACAAGTGGTTTGTGAAGTGGCACCCTCAAACCCTTTCTTTGCTGACTCATAAGGAAATAAGGGCTTTCATGGTCCCAAAACACAATGCTGGGCTGATCTCATGCCCCCTCAGTGCAAACCTTGTCCCCAAAGCTGCCACCAAGCCATAGTGCCCATGGGGATGTGTGGTGATGTACATGTCCCAGCTTGGTGGCTGCCCTAGGGGAGTTTACAGACACCTGTCACTGCCATTGGATGCCGACACCAGGATAGCTCCAGGATTTTGTCATTGGGACAACAGGACCAGGATTGACCTTGCTAGGATAGCAGCACCAGTATGTCTTCACCAGGATGATGACACCAGGACTGGCCCTACTGGAATGGCTTTGCTGGGATTGTAACACTGGGACCAGCTTCACTGGAACAGCATTGGGATGGCCGTGCCAGGATGGTGGCACCTGGATAGCTTCACTGGAATGGTGGCACCGGTACTGGCCATGCAAGGCTGGTACTGGGATGGCCTTGTCAAGACAGCACCAGGATTAACCTCGCCAGGACAACATGGACTGGCCTTGCTGGGATGGTGACACTGGGATAGCCTTGCTGTATGGTGGATCAGGATCAGCTTTGTTGTGATGACACCAGCATGGCCTTGCTGGGATGTCACTGCAGCTGGCATTACTGGGAGAGTCCTCACTGGAACTGCACCAGCATGGTCTGCTGGGACTGGTTTCACTGGAACAGTGCTGAGATAGCCTTGTTGAAACAGTGGCACTGGGATGGCCTCGCTGGGATGGCGGCAGCAGCACAGCTCTGGGATGGCGGCAGCAGCACAGCTCTGGGATGGCCTCGCTGGGATGACTTCACTGGAATGGTTGCACCAGGACAGCCCTGGAATAACTTCACCACAAGGACAGTGGGACTGGTCTTGCACAGATGGCCTTGCTGGGATGGCACCAGAGTGGCCTCACTGGGACAGCACTGGAGTAGCCTCCCAAGCACCTGTGCCCTGTCCCTGTCCCCACACAACTGCCCCATCCACGGCTTCAGAGACCCCAGCCTCCCCTCCTGCCCTGTCGGTTCTTGGGCTCAGGGGAGGTGAGGACTGGGGCTCCTGTCTGTGGGACTGGAGCTCTCCATGATAGTGGACTTGGCCATCAGTGCTTTGGGGGGAAGTTGCGGGTGCTGGGGGTGTCTCCTCTACTGCTGGCCAGAGTCTTAAAGATTTTTCATTTCATGCCCTCAAATTTCCAACCCTATAACCTAGCTTGACCCCCCATGAAGAAGAGATCACTCAAAATCCTGAGGTCTCCGTGGTCTATAAGTTTGGGTGGCCAGACTGGAAAGGGAAAAAAACAGGAGGGAAAAGATCTGTGCTCAGGCTTTATTAGCCATCAGAGAAGCTATTGAGCTGCCCTGTCTCCTGGACCAGTGAAAGGGGGACCTGCCCTGACTGGGAAGCAGTGCAGGGGGTGAGGGGCCCTGTCTCTCACCATTGCCCTTCCTCCTTGCAGAGCTCCTACCCCATATGGGAGGATTTCAACTCGAAGGCCACTAAGCTGCACTCCCAGCTCAGGTGAGTGGCTAAAGGGGGGATGGGACATGGGGGACCACCCTCCTTGTTGGCACATCCCAGTGTGACCTGCACCCACTGAGTTCCCCCTCACTGTCTCTCCACCTCAGGACCACGGTGCTGGCCGCAGTTGCCTTCCTGGATGCCTTCCAGAAAGTGGCCGACATGGCCACCAACACCCGAGGTAGGGTCCTCTCTCCTAGGGGTGGGAACCCCCAGGCTTGTGTGGGCAGGGGGACAGGTGGTCAGTGTCTCTTGTGGGGTGGCCCCTGCCCACATTTCTGGGGTGGATTTCAAGCAGCAGCTTCACCATCCACAGAGAGATGTCCAACCTGTTCCCTCTCTCACCAAGGTGGAGCATTCCCTAGGAAGCAGCATTGGGAAGATGGAGTGGAGAGGGGGAAGGAGGCGGGCACCCATGTGGGTGCTGCTCCTCACCCCCCATGGATGCTTAGCCACATTTTCTGGTGGGGCTGGGACATTCAGGGTGGCTCAGCCCCATGCCATGGTCTCCTGCACCTATCTCTGCCTCCTGGGATGCACAATCCACCTTCCTTGTCCCTGGCACCCATCTGGGAAGTTCCCGGGGGGGTCCCAGCTGCTCTGGAGGTCTCCAGAGAAGGGGAATTAGCTAGAGGGAGATTCAGGAGTCCAAGCTCGACTGTTTTGGGGACAAACCCCAGCTCACCAGGGACGTGACTCAAGAGCCAAGGCTGCATGTGGGGTCCCCCATAACTGTTGGGGAATGAGGGGGAAGGATTCCCAGACCCTCTCCGGGTGCCCTCTGGCAGTGAGGAGCCACTTCCCACTGCTTGGCTTCTGCCAAGCAGATGGTCCCAGGCTGGTTTGCAGACCGGCGGCATGCAGGCCATCTGGAGCCACGCGAGGAGGAGGAGGCAGCAGCTTGAGCCAGGATCAGCTTTGCCTCCAAACCCACTAGCCCACTGCACCAGGGGGATTAGGGCTCCCCCAACTCCCTGCCAGCCCAGAAAGCCAAAGCAAGGAGGAGGTACAGGAGCAGTGCTGGGGACAGCTGGGGACCAGCACTACAGGAGTCAGTGTGACCCTGTAGTGCTGCTATACCTACAGGGCTTTTTGGGAGGGTGGGAGGCAGAGCAGCAGCATGGGGAAACTGAGGCACTGGGTGGGGGCTGGCTGCTGGCCTTGCACACAGTGCATGAGAATCGGATTAGAAGCAGCAGGAGCTGGGATAAGAGCATTAGGAGCTGGATTAGGAGACTACCCCAGTGCAGAAGGCCCTGGCCCATGAGCTCCCCTATTTCCATAGCACTGGCGGACTGAGTGGCATCCAAAATTCCTGCAAAAGGGTGGGAGGTGTTTTTGGAGGCTTTTTTCAGGGAGAGAAAGGCTGAATGTCACTCCTTAGTTTGCACCCAAGGATTTTTGATTGCCGTTTTTCCTGGGATTTGCCAGCAGCGCTGCCACCATGTGGCCATCCTTAGGCTTCAGAGTTAACGGCGGTTTCACCTAAAAAGGATGCTCCTGCTGTCTGCTGCTGGCAAATATCCCCCCCGAGGAGTTTGGATTCCCTTTTTATCCACCCGGGATTGTGCCTGGAGGTGTGGGACAGAGCTGACTGCCTGGAACTAAGCCAGGGTACCTCATCCCTGCCCTGGCTCCCCAGTGCCAAATTTAAGACAAACCAGGAAAAAATGGGAGTGGGTTCTAATTTCAAAGCCTGTAAGAGAGATATTTAGAGTTTCATGTATTAGTTAGTGGATGATGATTTTTTTATTTTGTGGATTTATCTGGGGAAAAAACAAGCCACCCCCTGCCTAAGGTGTCCCCAGTGCCCAGTGCATCCCAGCACTTATCATCCCTGTCACAAACAACCCTGCTCCCACTGTACAAACTGGACTGGGACTGGTGTGGGGGTGTCCCTTCCCCTTGTCAGCAGCGCTTTGCTCCCCACCAGGTGCCACAAGGGACATCGGCTCGGCGCTGACCCGGATGTGCATGCGGCACCGCAGCATCGAGGCCAAGCTCCGGCAGTTCACCAAGTAAGCAGGACCGGGATCAGCTTTGCCTCCAAACCCTCAGGCATCGCTGCCACGACCTGGCCAGGCTCATTCCTTGCTGAAGAAAGGGATGCTGGATGTTGGCTGGGCGTGGGATGGGGGAATGGCTTCCCCCTGGCACCAGCGCTCTCTCACACTCTCTGTTTCTCTCTTCCCTGCTCCAGCGCCCTCATGGAGAGCCTGATAAACCCTTTGCAGGACAGGATTGAGGACTGGAAGAAAACTGCCAACCAGCTGGACAAGGACCATGCGAAAGGTATGGGGGGTACGGGATGGATCTGTGCAGGGTGGCTGCGCTGCTGGGCAGGGGTCCCCTCTGACAGCACTTCTGCACCCCCAGAATACAAGCGAGCACGCCATGAGATCAAGAAGAAGTCCTCTGACACCCTCAAGCTCCAGAAAAAGGCTCGCAAAGGTGAGAGGGGGTCTCCTGGGGGGTGCCCCCACCAGCCCCTCTGAAGCACCCCCAGCCAGGGCCGGTATCCCGGCTGTGGCACTGCCAACAAGGGGGTGGGCACTAGGGGGGTCCTGCTGCCCCCCTGTAGAAAGGGAGGTGCTGGCACGGCCCCGGGGGTGGCAGGGAGGCGGGGCATGCGCCCCAGCCTTCGGCCTCTTTTCACACGTTTTCTCTGTCTCCTTCTCTCTTCCCTCCCCTCCACATCCTTCCTGTAGAGCTACTTGGTAAGTGAACCGCTGCCCCCCACCACCGGCCCCCTCTCTGCTTCCTCATCTACTCCCCCCAGTCTCCCCAGCCTCTGTCTGTCTGTCCGTCCATCCATCCGCTCCCTGTTCCCACCCTCGCCCCGCTTTTAGCTTAGCTTAGCCTGCACCCCATATCCTGGGGCAATGCCAGCCCCACCACGTGGCAGCCCAAGGGGTCCTCTGGTCCCAAGTGCCAGGGATGGGGATGGGGTGGCAGAGGAGCCCCCTGCCTAAGGCTGCTGTGGGGTGAGGGTGTTCCTGGACCTTCCAGGGATATGGGCACAGTGGGAGACCTTTAGTATCTGCTGGAATGTGAGGATGGGGTGATGTCCCCAAGCTGGGGGAATGGCCTCAGCTTGGCAGTAGCACCACCAGCAGACTGGGGAGAGTGTCAGGGGAGCCCAGCACTGACAGTGCCCCATCTCACAGGGAAGGGGGACCTGCAGCCCCAGCTGGACAATGCACTGCAGGACGTCAATGACATGTACCTGCTGCTGGAGGAGACGGAGAAGCAGGCGGTCCGCAAAGCCCTCATCGAGGAGCGGGGCCGCTTCTGCACCTTCATCACCTTCCTGCAGCCCGTGGTGGTGAGTGTGGGGGGCTGGGAGGATCAAGGGTTGTTCCTTCCGCCCAGTGGGTGCTGATGGTCTCTCTTGTCCATCCTCAGAATGGGGAGCTCACCATGCTGGGAGAGATCACCCACCTGCAGGGCATCATTGAGGACCTGGTGGTGCTCACCGCTGAGCCCCACAAGTTGCCCCCCGCTAGTGAGCAGGTGAGTAGGGTTAAGCCAGGGGTCAGGGGAGTAGGGGAGCATCTTTGGGAGGACTTAGATCCCATCTTTTCTGCAGGTGATCAAGGATCTGAAGGGCTCTGACTACAGCTGGTCCTACCAGACGCCTCCGTCCTCGCCCAGCAGCTCCAGCTCCCGCAAGTCCAGCATGTGCAGGTATGGTGAGGTGTGCTCCACACCCAACCACAGCCAGGAAATCCAGCCCTCTTCATTAACCTCAGTGGGTTAATGATGCTTACGGCCTTTGGGGATGCTCACAAGGTGCATGTCCACCTTCTCATGTCCATATGGGCAAGCAGCTCCCATTAATATGGAGGAATTGGTCTTGGCACACTGGGCAGGCCTGGTGGACCTATGGGGGCCCGACACATGCCCTGTCCTTCGGCTTCTGGGGACGATGTGTGCTGTGCATGGTTGTCTGGGCGCAAGCATACCACCTCTGTTGTGTCCCCCAGCCTGTTCCCTGCCACAGGGCCACCCCAGGAGGCAGAGGGACACCTCCAAGAGGACTACGTGCCTCAGTTTCCCCAGGTTGGGATGCGTGGCAGGGCGCTGGCCATCCTGCCACCTCCAAACCTCTGTCTTAAATTCTCTTTTCCTTCCTTTGTCCTCCCCACCGGCGTGTCCCCGTCCCCCCGGCGCCCCCCCAGCAGCGTTAGCAGTGCCAAGGGTGGCATGGCGTGGCCCGGCGGGGCTCAGACCTGCTCACCCAGTTCCACCTATCGCTACCGCAGCCTGGCGCAGCCCCCCGCCGCCGCCACCCGCCTCTCCAGCGTCTCCTCCCACGACTCCGGCTTCATCTCCCAGGACGCCGCTTATTCCAAACCACCTTCCCCCATGCCCTCGGACATCACCAGCCAGGTACAGGGAGGGTGGTCCGTGCTGCTGACCTCCATGCCTCAGTTTCCTCTTCCATAGAATGGGTGGGTGGTGCTGGGTGCAACACAACAGTCCAGTGCAGAGGTGATGAGACCCACCCTCAGAAGTATTTCCACCTGTGTTGGCATCATGGGAAATAAATACTGGCAATATTGAGGGTGCCTGCCATATTTGGGGGCATCCTGGGCCACATGGCAGAGAAGCCCCATCCGTGAATTCCCCCAGGGATGGGGCACAGGAATCCCTCTCCCTGTGCCAGGAGAACAGGGTGTCTTCCAATCACCACAGCCCCGTAATACCCTGTTTGTGCCAGTCACCCACCAGGCAGCAGGGAGCAAAGCTTCCCTTTCATGCTGCACCATCCCCAGTGCCAAGGATGCTCCAGGATCCCCAGGGAGTTGTTATTCCTGCCTGTGCATGCTAACCTGGCATCACCAACCCAGCAAGGTCCTCCCTCCCCAAAATACCTGTTGGCTTTGCATGGCTTGGGGTGAGAAGGAGGAAGGGTTGGGGCAGTGCATCATCCCAGTCCTTGACCCCACTACCAAGGTCACATCCTGCTCGCCATCCTGCATCCACCGCCAGAGGGGAGGAGGGCTGGGGACCTCATTCAGCCAGGGGAGCTGTGGGTGCTGCTCTAACTGGGGTCATGGCTCTGGCTTTGCTTGCTAACTGCCTCTTCTCTCACCTCCCGGCTCTCGGCTCGTCACGGCACAGCAGAAGTCCTCCAGCTCGGCGTCCTCAGAGGCATCCGAAACCTGCCAGTCAGTTAGCGAGTGCAGCTCCCCCACCTCGGTTAGTCCTTCCCATCCCACCAGGGTTGCATTTCACACGTGGCTCCCTCCTCAATTCATGGGGTTCAACTCCTGGACCCTCCCCTCCCTTCCTGCATGGGGCAGAGCATCCTGAGCAGCACCTGTGACTTGACACGGGGGACATCAGCTTGAGACCCCTCCTGCCACACTCCTGGTCCCAGTGTCACCAGCATGAACCACATGCCTTGCCCATTGCAGGACTGGTCCAAGGCCAGCCCCTATGACCAGCCGGTGGTCCCTACCCTGCAGCGGCGCAAGGACCGCGTGGAGCACCTGCGGGAATCCGAGATGGGCTCTCCTGCTGGAGGGTACCCGGGCATCGGTGGCGAGGATGCTCCCAGGCCCCGGATGTCGCCAGCTACAATCGCTGCCAAGGTACCGGCTGCAGCAGGGAGGGCACAGAGGTGGGGGGCTCCTGGGGACTCCCAAAGGAGGAACCAGGGTGCTGACAGTGCCCCTTGCCCCAGCAGCATGGGGAGGAGGTGTCCCCTGCCGCCAGTGACCTGGCCATGGTCTTGACCCGTGGGCTGAGCTTGGAGCACCAGAAGAGCAGCCGGGACTCACTGCAGTACTCCAGTGGCTACAGCACGCAGACCACCACCCCCTCCTGCTCTGAGGACACCATCCCTTCCCAAGGTACTGGCACTGGAGGTACCTGGGACCACCTGAAACAGCGCTTAGGGTGGGGAAGGGCACAGCAGAAGTTTTGGTGGTCCTGGGGCACATTTGTGTGCTCTGGGTATCATAGCATCAGGCTGTGGTCATACTTTGTAGGGGCTGGTGGGGTGCCACAAATAACTACAGCTTTTCCTGGTTATTTGGGTGTTTGCTGGGACTCAGTGGGTGCAGTTGTGCCAGGAAGTACTGTAACAGGTTATGATTTGTGGTGATGTGTCTGTGTGCAGAGGCTGAGTACAGGTGGAGATGGTGGCAGATGGTAGGTGAGTTGGTAGCTGGAGATCAAATTACCACATCTGTCATGATGTTGGTATGATGACGGCTGAGCCAGTTACGACAAGCATGTGGTGGTGACAGTGCAGATTGGCTCTGATCACATTGTGATGGCTGTGATTGGGGTGGTTGTGATGGTGACAGTTGGGTTTGGTTGTGATTTCAGTGTGATGGTTAGGGTGATTGTGGTTTTTTTTCCAGAGGGATATTTGGGGTTGATGGTGAGCGTGTTGTGCCAGCAATGATTGGGACAGTAGCGGTTGTGTGACAATCGTGGTAGTTCAGTTTGGTTGTTGTGCTGTGACGGAGGTGGCTGGGGCTGGCTTTGATGGCATGGTTGGGCTCGGCTACCCGCTGCCCCCCAGCCACACTGATGGTGCTGCTCCCTCCCCAGGCTCCGACTATGACTGCTACTCGGTGAACGGTGACGTGGAGTGCGACCCCCAGAGTGATTTCGACAAGTCCTCCACCATCCCACGCAACAGCAACATCGCCCAGAACTACCGGCGGATGATCCAGACCAAGCGTCCTGCCTCCACCGCCGGGCTGCCCACCGGCACCAACCTACCGGCCGGCACCACCCCGGGGGTGGCCACCATCCGCCGCACACCCTCCACCAAGCCCTCGGTCCGCCGTACGCTCTCCAATGCTGGCCCCATCCCCATCCGACCCCCCATCGTCCCCGTGAAGACCCCCACAGTGCCCGACTCCCCTGGCTACGCCGGCCCTACGCGGGTGGGCAGTGAAGAGTGCGTCTTCTATGCTGATGATGCCTCTCCGAACCCCCTGGATTTTGCCAAAGCTTCGCCCAAGCGGCTGAGCCTTCCCAACACTGCCTGGGGTGGCGGTGCCATGGAGATCTCTGTCTACCCCGGGGCTGGCCAGCACCTCTCCGCTGAGGAAGAGGAGGACCAACAGTTGGCTGCCAACCGGCACAGTTTGGTGGAGAAGATTGGGGAGCTGGTGGCCGGAGCCCATGCCCTGGGGGAAGGCCAGTTCCCCTTCCCCACCGCCCTCATGGGGTCCGGCCCCAGCGAGGAGACCCCCGCGCCGCCCCCCGCGGCCTCCATGGACCCCCCGGCCGAAGACATGCTGGTGGCCATCCGGCGTGGGGTGCGCCTGCGCAGGACCGTCACCAATGACAGGTCGGCCCCGCGGATATCGTGATGATGCCCCGGCCAGAGGGGATGTGCCCGCCGTGGCCAATGGACCCCCGGGGGCAGCCACTGCACCTCCCGGGACCCCCACCCGCCGGCACCCGCTGCCCTATCCCTCCCTGGTGCCCCCTGCTTCCTGCCCCTCTGTCTCCTCCTGACCTGCCTTCTCCCTATATCCTTCCTTCACTTACTCTCTTTGGCTCTCCTCCTCTTTTTCTCCTTTTCTCCTCTTCTTTTTCCTCTTTTTTCTGCTTTTTTCTTTTGGCTTTTTTCTTTTGTTCTTCTGTGTCACTTTTCCTTCTCTTTTCTTATTTTCTTCATTTTCCCATTTTTCTTCTTTTCCTCTCCTTTTTTTCTTTTCCTTTTTAACTCTTTTTCTCCTTCCTTCTATTTTCCTCTTTCTTCCTTTCCTTTTTTTCACTTCTTTCCCTTTGTTTCTCTTTTCCTTTTCCCCTCTCTCTTTCCCTCTCCCCTGTTTTCTTTCCCCCGGGCTCAGGCGGGTGGCCCCAGCTGCAGCAGGAGAGGACGGTGCCAGCAGGGCTGTGGCAGCCATGGAGCACCCAGAGCACCAGGAGTGAGGGGCCCCGGCCCCATTCCCCCCAGCTGCCTGCTTGGGGCCAGCACAGCTCAGCCTCATTCCAGGGGGCAGAAGCAATGGGCTGGGGGTGGAGGAGGGGGAAGAAGAAGCGGGGGACATGTGAGAGGGTGGGGGGCTGCGGGTAAAGGCACTGCAATCCCCTCTGTCTAGGAGGGACACCAAGGTGCAGGGACTGAGGACGCTGAACCTCCACTTTGCCCCCCTTCACAAGGATCACTTGGGACCCCCCTGCAAACCCCCTCAGTCTCCCTCAGCACCCACAGACCCTGTGCAGAGTCTGCTCAGAGGTGGCTCCAGGCACAGGAGGTTTGGCTCAGACCCCCAAGCAAAGCAGCTGATCTCTGCCGGCGGCTGGAGGAAAGCACAACCCCCCGGCCCCCCGCTGTACATAGCCCCCGCCGCCCCGCTGTCTGTCGCATCGCAGCCCCTCAGCCCTCCCCCTTAGGTATAACAATTTAGTTCTTCCCCTTTCCCCTTCTCCTGCCCAGAACCACTGAGGCCAAGTGACAAATGTTTGGGTTTGAGGGAGGGGGGGGGGGGGGGTCTCTTATTTTGTACAGAAAACAAAAATTCTTTGGAAAAGAAAAAAAACTGACCTGTCTTTCGACTGAAGTAACTTTTCTGGTGCTGTTGTTAACTTGGTCCTTATTCTTATCTTTTTTTTTTTTTTAATTTATTTTTCCCCTCGTGTTCCCACCTCTGCCGCCGCTTCCCTTCTCCCTGTCCCTCTGCCACATTTTCTTTCATTCCGTCTTTTCTTTTCTTTTTTTTTATTATTATTTTTCTTTTCTGGTGGTAATTACCCTCTTTCCCCCCTCCCCCGTTTTCCATAGTCACTGCTACAAGTAACGAATGCACTGTGAAGATTCCAGTATTAATAAAGGTTGTACTGTAATTAATAGCCTTGCCTGTGCTCCTATGGATGTTCTGGTTCTCTGGGTCACCCCAGTAATGGGGAACAGGTGGGAAGGTACCATCACCCCTTTGGGGTTCCCATGGCTTGAGGGGGTGCGTGTTTTGGGGTATGGAGGAATGCAACAACCCCGTGGTCAAGGTGATGGGTGACCCTGGGATGCAGAGGAACATCCTGCTGCCCCATCCCCTCCAGAAGAGGGGGTGCAGGCGGTTCCCCCCACCTCCACCTATCCCAGCAGCACCCGCAGCGTTGCCACCTCCCGGATTATCGAGGCCGATTGCCAAACCTCGCTGGGCAGCACAACCGGCTGGGGAGAGCAGTGGGGATGGAGGGGCTCAGCGTGGGCAGTGTCCTGCTGACCAGCTGTGACGGGGGGCTGGGCCTGGCGCTGCTGAAGGGGCTGCTGGAGCAGCCCAGCCCACCTCGGCACCTCTTCGCTGCTTGCCTGGACCCCCAGGGCAAGGTAGGGAGGGCACCGGAGTGGGGGGGGGGGGGGGGGGGGGGGGGGGGGGGGGGGGCGGGAGGGAGTCATCTCTGGGATTGGTGCCTGGGGATGGCACAATCCCACCTGGAATTGGGAGGCTGAGTGCCAGCATCCTGCACGATGAATGACATGGAAAAATACATGTGTATGTATGTACATATATATGTAAAACAAAAATACATATATATGTATTAAATATTAAAAATACCTATGTGTCTATTAAATATGTATGTATTTAATTTTTTTGGCGTCTCTTGGCGCAGGTATGTGAATTGTGAATGATGGGGAGTGCAGGGGGGGTTGCTGGCAGCCCCTGTGCCGGGGGCATCGCTGCTGGGAGCTTTGAAGCTCAGCCAGGTGCAGAGAAGCAGCGACTCGCCCCAAATGGCTCCCACTGGGTCTTGTTGTAACCTGTTGGCTGTGACATGAAGGGCCACCCTCTTCCCACCCCGGCACGGTGCTGGCGTCACCTCCAGTCAGCTTCCCCACGTGACCCCCGTCCCCCGCTTTCTCCACCTAGGCTGTCAATGAGGTGGCTTTGGGCTTTCCCAACGTCATGATCCTGCCTCTAGGTAAGTGCTGGGGCGGGAAAGGGATGAAGCTTCTCAGGATTTAATTGCGATGATCGTGGGTGGCTCCAGGAAATGCCATCAAGCAGGTGGGTCCTTTGGTTTGGCTTAGCTCAGCCGGGTCACTGATGGGACCAGGAGGATGCTCAGTGGCTGGGAGTCGCCTCCTGCCATGTCCTACAGCGTCTTGCCAGGGTCACAGCCACCAGCCTGTCCCCCAACCCTCCTGTCCCCTTGCAGATGTGACAGACCCCAACAGCATCAAGGCAGCAGTCAGGAAGGTGAGGGAGGAGGTGGGAAGTGCTGGCCTCAACCTCCTGATTAACGACACTGGCACCACGCGCCGCAGCACCTTGGCCACTGAGACGGCAGAGAACATGAGCCTCGTCTACACCACCAACACCATCGGGCCCCTGCAGACAAGCCAGGTGAGGACACAGGCAACCCCCGCCCCAAACACTGGAAACAGGGAGGAAGAGGATGGTGATGCCTGAGATCCCATCCCCTGCAGGCCTTCCTGCCCCTGCTGAAGGAGGCGGCTGAGGCCGAAGGGCAGCGTGAGATGAGCTGCAGCAGAGCTGCCATCATCAACATCTCCAGCATCCTGGGCTCCATCGAGGTTGCAGAGGCTTGGGAAGAGAGGCAGGACATCTGCTACCGCTGCAGCAAGGTACTGCCAGTGGGAGGATGGGGAGGAATTTGGGGGTCACCTCCTCTGGGATCTCCCCCACCACTGGCCATGGCATTGCCAGATCATGATGAGGAGGGGAATTGGTCCTCCCAGGCTGCTCTGAACATGCTTACCAAGTGCCTGGCCCTGGAGTACGGGAACAGAGGGATCCTCTGCGTGTCTGTGGATCCTGGACATGTGACACCTCCCTTGGAACAGGGGATGGTGAGTGACAGGAGGTGCATGGCCATCCTAGCTCAGCAAGGTCCCATAGGTATCCATTCCTGGGGGCATCCTTTCCCAGGAGAATCCCCTCCCAAGGCCACCCCCTCCCATGAACATCCCTTCCCAGGGCTCATCCTTTCACAAAGAAATTCCTTCCCACAGATATCCCTTCCCACGGGCACCAGTTCACAGGGCATTTCTTCCCATGGACATCCCTTTCCCATGGACATCCTTTCCTGAGGCATCCTTGACTATGGACATCCCTTCCCTGGACACCCACATCTGTGCAGTCCCTTGGTCCCACAGTGGCTATGCCACCACAGCAAAGGGATAATTCCAAATTCTCCCCTCAAACCACCTAATTTCTTTCCTATTTTTTATTTCCTTTCCCATCCTGATGGTGTGTCAGCAGAGGGCACCCCTGTCCTGCACTTGGCTGTCCCTTACCCTGCTCTGGCTGACAAATGAGTCACTTATTAATTAGAAATGAAAAAATTAACCTCCGTCCTTACAGGACTCGAATGAGGGAGAATCAATTTGTGCAAAGCCGCATCCTTTGGCCACTGGAGCATCTCCAGATGCTCCCAAACCAACCCAGCCGAAGCTGGCATTCCACCATCCCATGGGTGGGATTGGAGGTGTTGGGGTGGAGAATCTTGGCTCACTTTTTCCCTTGCCCTTGCGCGCGACAGGGCCCGGTGACGCTGGAGGAGAGTGTGAGGGGCGTCCTGCAGCTGCTGGCCCAGCTCTCAGCCACCAGCAATGGCACCTTCTGGGACTGGAGAGGGCAGAGGCTGCCCTGGTGAGAGCAGCATCTGCCCACTGAGCTTAAATAATTAATTAAAGTGAATTAATTGCCATTTCCAGGCTCACTCTGATGGCGGGCGGGGGGAGGGATGGGCAGGGGAATAGAAACAGGGATGCACAGGCCGGGGAATGAGAGTTGGATTCGCTGCCCCCCTGGTCTGGGATGATGATTTGGGCCAGGGCAGCATAAGGAAGGGTGCTCCAAGCATGGTCCCGAATCCAAGGCATTCCCTGGGGCTGGAGACTCAGATCCCCTGGGTATCCTCACTCTAGGGCCATAAGCCATACTGCTTAGGGGAACATCCCAGACAGCCCCCAAACTCAACCCTTGTCCTGCTGAGACTGCCCACCCCAAAACCAGCTGGCCTTTCCATGCCCACCCCAAGGATGCTGCCAGGCATTTTTCTTTTGATTCAAGGCCAGAAAAGGTTCTTCCTATTCCAGCAGCTGGGCGGTTTCACAGCAGATCTCCCAATCTCAGCACACACCTAAAGATGTCTTTTGAGACCTGGGCAGGGCATCCTGGGCTGACCCTCCCTAAAACCATCCCTCATGGTACACCAAGAGATACTGTAAACAGGCTCCCATTCTCAATCCTGTGAGTGCATTCCTGTAGAGGCTCTCAGCTGACACTTCTGAAGCCATCTCTCAAAAGAGGGATCAGAAGAAAATGCACAATATCTCAAGTGGGCTGGACACGCAGGGTTTTGGCAAGCCCATTGCTGTGGGGATGCTCTGGGAAACTGGGCAGGGGTCATTTTGCAGGGACAACTTCAGTTTTCCCACACTGGAGGAGGATGAAGGATCATTCCCACACTTGACACAAGGGAGCTGGAGGTTGGGGCTCCCTTAACCCAAAGGCTAAGGCAGCCCCGGGTGGGTACCTGGACCACACAGGGGCTCTGTTAAAGCCAGCAGGGATGGGAGAGAGGGTTCTTCTAGTTAAAGCTCTTATCGAGCAGTGGA